AGATTATAAATCTGGCGGAGATAGCTAGGTTTTTCTTTCTATTTTTCCCTAATAACAAAGCTATATTACGTAAATGTTTTTTAATTTTATTAGGGTGCTAAGTGTGGCTTAAACAAAAACTCCACTGCCAACTTCTGTATTATCTTGTATACATTTAAGGGTAAGAAAAAAATCTTGCTTGGTCCTTCTCACAGTTGATGCGACTAAATTGATCTTTCACTAACAGTTCGTGAGTTGGATAACTTCCTCAATTCAACCGATTCTCCTCCCCCTCCTCAGAAACGTTTTTTAACTGATTTTGTAGCTGCTGGAGACTACAACATTTCAATTCATAAAAAAATTTTACGCATCTGTTTCTCAGTACAGTGCAATCATGCCATTATGCGGGACCCCTCTGTATATAGATAGTCTGCCCGGAAGAAATGTCTTTTTTTTTAACGTAAACACCTGAGCCTTCATCAGGAAAAGTTACAAAAATTTAAAACCCTTCTAGTAAAGTAGGCCCAAGAAATAATTTTTGAAATTAAAGTTCGTTTTAACCAGCATTTAAAACCTTTAAATACGAATTTTTACAACAATCAAAAGGTAGATTAGCGGAAATTTTTATGTAATTTGCGAAAAGCATAGCCGCCGTTTTTGTGTGGCCACAGTAAAGCCATGTTCGCATCTGTTTACCTTATTCATGTGTTTTGCATTTGTACTTGTAGATAATTAACATTTTTCTATCTATTGTACATTACAAGGTCGTCTGCGAATAATATTCCTTCACATGGTGGTTCGATATTTCAGGACATTGTTGATCGCAATACAGAATAAAAAAGGGCTTGGTACACTGCCCTGCGGAACCCCAATCTCCTGAGCATAGATAATCAAGAATGACGATCCAAATTTCTCTTTGAAAACTCGGCCATTAAGAAAATTGCATATAAATTGTATTACCGTCTATCCCGAAACTTTTTAAGGGATCTACCATCAGCCACCTTCAAGTAGAATAGAAGGATTTTGGATATCAAAAAATCCGCCAGCAAAGTATTTTTCTTGATAAACGATTCGCATATGGAGGATTTAAGTAGTACTAGGTTGTCTGTCTCTTGCTCCTCTGTTCTTCTCGAAACCACTTTGCCAGAGCAGTAATAGCTCTTTATTCTTCACATACAAATGCAGCCTATCTGTTATCAGTGTTTTCCATTAACTTTCACATGGAATAAGTTAAAGATATAGAGCGATAGCTTTTAACGTCGTGAGGTGGCTTATCTACCTTAATAGTAAAGTGATTATCATTTTCCAATTTTCAGGAATTAAATATATCCTATTTATTATTTTAATAATGACAGTTTTGTCAGTTTCTTTATGTTTTTGATGAAGCTAATACAGATTTTGTCGGGCCCAGGAGACGTATTTTTGCTTGAATTAAGGGCTGCTGTAAATTTTTCGTGAGTTAAAGGGTAGTTTAGGGGTTCAGAGAGGTTAGTATAGTCATGATTGAATCGACAAACGATTCTGCTATAGTCTTGGAATCTGTGGAATGCATTTCCCTTTAATGTACGTTATTGTTGATATATTATCACAACCCTTTATTTTATGTATAGTGTTCTAGAAAAATGACACTGGCGTGATGGACGTGGTACTTTGCAGAAACTTCTTCCAGGATTCCCTTTTGCTATTTCTAATTGTGCACCTTTTTGGCTATAATATATTTATCTTGATTAAAGCTACATGGCCTGAAAAGAAATACGCTTAAGCATTCTTCACTGCTCGTTTATACTCCTCATTCCAACAAGGAATGTTTTTTCGTCGACTACTACGCCGACTTTTGGACAACTATATGGGCAGCTTTTATTAGTTTTTTATTTAGATTTGCAATATGACGATCTACATGACTATATATATATATATATAGTCCCCGTTAATTTTTAGAGAGAATCAAAATCATAATTCCATTGAAATTTTTTAATTTAATTTAATGCCCATTTAGTATGTAATGCTTAAGAAGTTTACAAACAGCTAGAAGGTCAAGGAAGAAAGACCCAAACGTTTTGCCACCTTCATCTTCTTATTGAAAAATTAACGGGGATTTCAACGGTGCTTATAGATTTTAAGAGAAATGTTTAGATTAAAAGATATCACGATTTTCCGACGCCAGGACGTGATATCTTTCAAAATCGATAAAAAGCGAAATTACTCTGAAATGGTTGAGAATCGGACCATGGTCAATATGAACTTTTTTGTTCATTTTAGGGTAAAGAATCTACTGGTGAAGTTTGTAGCACGAGTAGCAAGTCACTCTCAAACATTAGCAATCCTTGAACCACCATTTTTTCTCTTTTTGTCATCAACATCTTGGTCTCACAACCACTAAATAAGAAAATGACGAGTGCGTTGGAAGCGTTATTAAATCAGGTAGTTTTCCTCAAATTTGCTGCCTTCTGAGACTAAAATTAGAAACTCTGGATTACTTTATACACTTTCCGATTTACACAATTTTCCACTCTTTTTGTAGTTCTGGCTGAAATAAAACACAAAAAATTAGCCCAAACATTTTGCCACCGTCATCTTCTTATTGAAAAATTAACGGGAATTTCAACGGTGCTATTAGATTTTCAGAGAAATGTTTAGATTAAAAGATATCACGATTTTCCGACGCCAGGACGTGATATCTTTCAAAATCGATAAAAAGCGAAATTACTCTGAAATGGTTGAGAATCGGACCATGGACAATATGAACTTTTTTGTTCATTTTAGGGTGAAGAATCTACTGGAGAAGTTTGTAGCACGAGTAGCAATTCACCCTGTATATATATATATATATATATGTTTTCTGCTTCTAAATTACCAAGTCGTAGTGTCTGTTGATGAAGGGGCAAGTTTGCTTTTGATTTTCCATTCACTGGTCGGTCGACAGTGTTTTGTCCCCAGAGCACTGTGTTGATCACAATCGGAACATGGTCGCTGCCATGGACATCCTTTAAGGTATACTGGACGGTTGAGAGTATACAAGTTGATTCAAGGAGACTAAGATGTATTAGACACCGGACTGACCTTATAAATGTGTGGAAAAAGTATCTTTTAGAATATTCAGGCCGTATCGATCAATTATTAATTCAACACTTTTCTCAGGATATTTATGGTATCCCCCACATAACTGATTATAGGCGTTAAAATCTCCAAGGAACAAAACAGGTTGTGGCAGCTTTCGCGGTCCTCATACATGATTTAAACAAAATTCATACAACATTTTTTGTTTAAACAGACTACAGTCGAAGAATTATGTAGTGTGATGACAGCCAACATGTGTAGTTATGGTGATAGTCTGCTGCATTCATCAAAAATGTGGGTGGGTATGTGTGCGTCAAATCTTTTGTGAGGCATTTTGCGCTCCTCGCACATCATTTATAAAAAAATTGTTTTCAAATAACATTTTTTGTTTAAATACTATAGTTGGAGAACTTTTATAGTATGATAACAGCCAACATGCTTGAGCAGTTATGACGATAATCTGCTGCGTTCATCAAAAATGGGTGTGTCAAATCTTTGCGAGGCAATTTTCGTCCTCACACGTCATTTATAAAAAAGACTTGTCTTCACACAACATTTTTTGTTTAAACAATATAGTCGGAGAACTTTTGAAGTATGATGACAGCCAACATGTGTAGTTCTGTCGACAGACTGTTGTATTCATCAAAAATGGGTGTATGTCAAATCTTTTGCGTGGCATTTCGCGTTCCCCCACATCATATATTTTAAAAAAATTGTCTTCAATTAACATTTTTTAATTAAGTAATGGAGACGAAAATCTTTTAGTGTGATGACAGCCAACATGTGCAGTTCTGAAGACAGTGTGTTGCATTCATCAAAAATGTGTGTCAAATTTTTTGCGTGGCATTTCGCGGTTTTCACATATCATTTATAAAAAAAAAATATCTTCAAATAACATTTTTTGTTTAAATAATATAGTCGGAGAAATTTTGAAGTGTGTTGACAGCCAACATTCTTGTATAGATCTGATGTTAGTCTGTTGTATCAATCAAAAATGTGAGTGAAGTCTTTCGCGTGGCATTTCGCGGTCCTCACACATCATTTATATACAAATAACATATAACATTTATTATTTAAATAATACAGTCGAAAAATGTTTATAGTGTAACGGCAACTATCATGGTTGTGTAGTTCTGATGATGTCTGTGGCGTTCATCAAAAATACATCTATGTCAAATCTTTTGCGTGGCATTTCGCGTTCCTCCCATATCATATATTTTTAAAAAATTGTCTTCAATTAGCATTTTTTAATTAATTAATGGAGTCGAAAAACTTTTGAAGTGTGATGACAGTGTAGTTCTGATGATAGCTTGTGATATTCATCAAAAATGTGAGTAAAGTCTTTTGAGTGGCATTTTGCGGTACTCACACATCATTTATATACAAATAACATAACAATTATTACTTATATAATACAGTCGAAGAACTTGTATAGTGTAATGGGAACTATTATGGTTGTGGAGTTCTGATGATGTCTGTTGCATTAATCAAAAATGCATTTATGTCAAAGGCATTTCGCGTTCCTCACACATCATTTATTATAAAGAAATTTCTTCAAATAACATTTCTGTTTAAATAAATAATACAGTCGGAGAACATTTATAGTATGATGATGGCCAACATGCATACCATCACATTCGAATTTTTATATCAAAACCTATTACTTCAGAAATTCGTGGAATAGTCCGAATTATCTTGTGGTTGATTTATTAAGTTTAGCTCATCAATTTTAGTATTCGTACTCATCATTTAAAAAACAAATTGCATTCAATGATCGTAGAAAAAATGTTATTATGTGGTGGACTACTTGGCATTCTGCGTCGTTTTTGTTCTTCAGCAGTTTGTTAGTTTTTAGACCATACTTAACGAAAAATTGCGCAAAAACTAGTGCGTGCAGCTTTAGTTTGACTGTCATGATCACATGCATTTAATGTCAAATGTAATGATGATAATACAATGCTCACCTCTGATGAAGCGAGGAGGCAATGAGGCATCCTGCAAACGGGGAACATCTTCGAGTGCGGTATCTTCGGCCACATCCACGACATTATAAGGACAGCGAGGAACAAAACGAAAAGTGTAAAGACGAGGATGGCGAAGACGAGGAGTCCTAGCCTGGAGAGACCCGTTTTCTCCGAACACCATTTCTCGAACTTGGACGCCGGCGGGGGCGTAAATTTGACACTTCTAATTTTTTTATCCGAGAAACTGTTCGCTTTGTCGTTGTTCTTCTTGTCCGCATCTGTGCCGTTGTTCTCTTCGTTTTTGCTTGCGGAGACTATCGACCGTTTCTCATCCGGTATGCACGGTACGTCTTCACCGGCCTCGTCTATGTGGTTTAAGTTGTTTTTATCAGTCATCGCTTCTAGGAGGGAATAACGTCAATAGAATCCTTCCATCCACCCGGGACGCCTCGGGGTATTAAGTCATAACAAGTTTTACCTGAGGTGGACACCACCGTTATAAGACGGCCTGCTAGTCCTAAAACACCATGGAGGACGCGTACCGCGTTCGTATCGAAAGACGACCTTTCAACTCGCGTACATCGCGCTACTACGGATGATCCAACGTGTCAAATGAGAACGATGTACAAATGTATCGTGTGGTAATTCGGAAACTGCTCGTCTTTCGTGAAGACGCGTCGTCGGTTAAGTCGGACACTGGAATGAAGTCTGGAGTTGACGATTCCAGGGGGCGCCACACGATGAAAAACCGGCAACAGGTAGTCGCCCCACCACACGACGCTACACCCACTAACCACCTAATGCCATTCGGCTCGTTCCCACTTAAATGTTGCAACTTAAAACATTTTTGAAAACTTACAAAAAAAAAAAATTACAAACAGGCACAGAAGCTATCGTAAGTCAAAAACAATTTATTTATTTTATTTTATTTTTTTACGAGGGTTCGCAACAGCAGAGGTCATATAAACCCTCAGGGTGCCAGTGTTTTTGAAAAAAAGCCCATTTGTAAGTATGTCTGGTTCGAATGCAGGGCCGCTGGATATAAAATGTATCACTATGTAAGAATAATAAAACATTGTTTTAAATTTATTTTAAAGGTACAAGTAGGGCTTACATGGTACAAGCCCCCTAACATATTTTTCTAGGGCAGGGCGGAAAACAAAAAAAGTCATTGAGCATATTTTTGAGGAAAAAACAGAAATGTAAAGATTTAAAATATATGTATGTATATCATCATACTATAAATGTTCTCCGATTGTATTATTAATTTAAATAAAAATGTTATTTGAAGACATTTCTTTATAATAAATGATGTGTGAGGAATGTGAAATGCCAGGCAAAAGATTTGACATAAATGCATTTTTGATGATCATCAGAACTACACAACCATGATAGTTGCCGTTACACTACAAACATTTTTCGACTGTATTATTTAAATAATAAATGTTATATGTTATTTGTATATAAATGATGTGTGAGGACCGCGAAATGCCACTCAAAAGACTTCACTCACATTTTTGATGAATACAACAGTCTATCATCAGAACTACACAAGCATGTTGGCTGTCAACACACTACAAAATTTCTCCGACTATATTATTTAAACAAAAAATGTTATTTGAAGAGATTTTTTTTATAAATGATATGTGAAAACAGCGAAATGCCCCGCAAAAAATTTGACACACATTTTTTATGAATGCCTGTCTTCAGTACTGCACATGTTGGTGTCATCACTAAAAGATTTTCGAATCCATTAATTAATTAAAAATGCTTCATATTGGGCCAGTAATATCTTTGTCGAATTCTATTATAGGTTTCATCGACTCCTCCCGATGCTAGTTTTCAATTTTCCAAAATTTCATCTGGTACAACTACGTCAATAAGCTTTTCTGTACACCTAATAAAATTTATTTCTGAGTGTTTAAAATAGGTGATTATAACATTTGTAAATTTCTCATAAATTTCATTTTCAAAATACAAATAATATTTAATTTTAGGTACTATGTATGTTTTTACAAAATCAACAATATCCTGCTCAAAATTATTTTTTTAAATTTCTAATCATCAAAATCCTCTGTTTTGCTTCGAACAATTTGGAAATTCTTGGTTTTTTCGGGTTAAAATTTACTTACTTATTATTTGATTTTTTCCCATAATTACAGGTCCTTCTTGAATTGGGATAGAAACAATTAAATTTCCCTCATAGTTAGAATGGACTGTGGCGGTTTCGTCTTTGGGCGATTCGCGATTTTCTTGATCGTCTATATTTACGGCTACCGATTTCTTAATCATCCCTATTATTTGATGCCATTTCTATGGGTACATCTTCAAAACATAAACAGTGGGTTCACAAAACTCCCTGAGAAGTCGGTCGATTTCCTCATCACCTGTCTCTGTTTTGTCAATTTCATTATTATGGAGTTCTATGTTTTCCTTCCTCTTTTTATAGACAATCTCATAATTTCTATTTGTTTGGTGCAGTGCTATGCTTCTCCTTGCAGCCAAACATTTTAAATTGCAACTTTCACAATTGTAATACAGATTACTGGACTGTTTTACACTGTGATAAAAATTATACAAAAAACATTATTGCAGTTAAATATATATATTTTCTATCTCTGGTGAACATTTTTCATAATTTTTTCATACAAAATACAAATTTATTTTTAAATTAATCGGATACAACATACATAAAAACAGACAATTGAAATTGTTTAATTGCAATAAATACAGATTTGACTTATATCACAAATTTATAAATAATTTTTAAATATTTCCCTCTAACATTTACTTTTTACTTAGGTTAATGAAAGATTATGTATTTTTCAAAATAAAATGTTAAAATTAAATATGGATATGGCACGAGATAAAAATATTTGTTGATATAATGCTGAGAAAAGCAAAAAAAAAAAAAAAATAGAAAAACAGAAATTTAAAAGAATATTAATGCATTAAATAATATTTTAAACAAATATACAATGTTTTAGTGAAACAAAAACCAAAACACCATTTTTCAATTGAATATAGAATAAAAATATACAAACTGAATAAATTAACTTGACCCCTAATATTCATAAATTGATAAACTATAAATAATAAAGAATTTATCAGTCATTTTACATATATTTTTAAATTGTACTATTGAAAGTCAGGTAGAATCAGATTTATGATGTTTAAACCTTTCATCAAGGGTCCCTGGTATCTGAAGAGAAAAAAGTCACTATAAATATAGTTCTTCATCTTCATATTGTTAAAGTAAGGATTTATTGTATCAACACTTTCATCATGCTTTATTGCAGATTAACAATCAATTTCATTGCAATTGTTATTGTTAAATCGAAATGATTGGACTGTGGCTTTTATACATTTTGGATAAAATTCTTAAGCTTATTTCTTGTTTATGTGTTTCCATTGGGCTGGGCCTCCGCCTACAACGACATTTGTCAATTATGTAAAACATTGAGAATTGGCATGAAACTAGAAAAATAACATAGCTACATGAAGAGCATGTGTGCAGTTTTTTTATCATATAGAAAAGTGAAAGAATAAAAATCTACTAAGTACTAAGGATAAAGCAAAAGTATTTAGGAATAACATGTCAGTATGTATGCTCATAGCTATGGCTTTTTCCTTACTTCTTATAGACATCAATTAAATAAAAATTAAAAATTGTTCTAGTATTTAATAATACAATAAATACACTAACTAATCCAACCACTCCCCCAAACATTATTTCCCAGTACCAAACACCAAATTTAAATAAGAAAAGACCACCATTATACCATGTTCTACAGTTTAACTTTTGATATATAGTTTTAAAGTTAAAACAAAGAAGCATTACTTTCTAACAAATGTTCATATATATATATATATATATATATATATATACATATATATACTTAGAGAGAGAGAGAGAGAGAGAGAGAGAGAGANTATAATATGTTGATAAATTATAATTACTTCAATTTGTAACAGTTTGTAACAGGGCTAAATTGTCCTTGTTCAATTTTGTATAACACCAGATCATAAAATAAGTAAGCAGTGTTTTTAATAGTAAATTAAATGAAAAATTCAGGTACTTGTAAACAATATATGAACCATTTTGATTCACTGCCTGTTTCCACTGGCCATATAATTTTGTAATTCCGTTCTTCAAGAACTTCTGATTTTTGAGCAATAAACTCCTAAATTTGTTTTTTGCAGCCTTAAAAGTGAAGTAAAGTTTTTCCCATTAATAAAATTTTATAGATACCAGAACAAGTGAAAATCTGAAGTGTGGTGGAGTGTTTGGGGGATTCAATTCACACTCCAGCAATTTCTGGCGTATCTGCAAAGAAACATGGAGCTGACCATAGACACCTTGCAATTAGCTAATGCCAGCCATTTTTGTCAATTGCTGACTTTAATCACTTCAATTGTTTGCAGTATACACTAGAATTATATAGTATGGCTGGGCAGAAGAAGCTCATAATAAAGCCATCCCTTCCAATCCCACCAAATGTACAATATCTTCTTGGAATGTAATTCGGCTCTTGAAGTTGTTAACTTTGAATCACTACATTTCCCCATGATTTTCCTTTTTGAACATTGATTTGAAGGACTGCGGTGGCCAAGTGGTTAGAATGTCCAACTCGCATTTGCCATGCTAACAGTCCTGGGTCTGAATCCCAGCAGAACATATGGATTTTTGATGATTTTTGAAGTATGAAAAGGAGAAAGTATTGTAAATTGGTTTGACCCCTTGTCCATGACACTTAACAGGTAGTTGGACTTTAAGCACTCTTGTACAAGCAGAAGTAATTACTTTACTTGTTATGCTGATGTAAAGAACCAACTTTTCATCTCCAGTTATCAATCTTTTTAAAAATGGGTTTACATTGTGTTTTAGGAGGAATTGCAGATGTAGATCTAATGTAGATAAAATTCTTCTCAGTCAACCTTAACTAATCCATTTTCAGAGTGTGTAAACATTTTAATTATTAACATTTCTTTAAAACACAAGAGGGATCGAATTGAATTTTTGAAAAACACTACAGACTTATTTTACAACTCGATAATAAATGTTAATATTATTTGACTTAAATAAATGGGTTCAAAGTTACCAATGGTTATTAATAAATTTATACTTTTTTGCCATTTTTCCCCTTTGAACACAAAAACTTGCATAATATATTAATTAAAACTACATAAATAATAGTTGGCATTAACACCACCAATAAAACAATTAATTTTGACAGTAATTTTGTTGGCGTAAATAATATATATANAAAAGAATATATATTAGAATTTGAACTAATAATAATAATAATAATTTAAATTTTTTAACAGTGGAACATTTTGAAAAAGTTTTTAATCATATTTCAGTTGTTAACAAGTTTTTTAATCCACATTTATTTATAACAATAATAATAATTATCTTTGCTGATAGTAGGGTTCAAATTGTGGATTACTGACAAGATAATAAATTCTTAATTAATAATTTGTTTATTGGATAAATGATTGAAAATATTTTCTAAAGCAGCATTTCTTACTGTAATTTTATTTTTTTAAATTGGTCTATCCAAAATTGATTTCTACAACAAAATACTCATAAAATCATTAAGAATGGAGGTAGGAAGAAGGAAACACATAAAGAAAGAAACCAGAGTATTCTTATACCGTATTAAAAGCCATTAAAGTACATTCATGCAGAAATATTTCTAAGATAATTACATGCACATGCTAGCAGATAGAAATCGACCCACTTAATGAGTTAAACGTACCTTTGGTTTTGGTCTGTGTGTATCCACCGCCTCAATATCAAATGGTATGTGTTCTACTTTACATCCATAAGCCACTGGCGTCAGTTTAATAAGTGTATGCAGAGGGACATGTAGATATGGTAACTCTTCTACAAAAACAGAAAATGTTATAGACAGAAATTTATCTGGCCGTTTAAAAAAGAAATGTACTCACCTGAATTTTTGTCCAGCAAGTAAGCAAGGAGACAGCGAATTACAGCTTGGTGGCTTACGACGAGAATGTTCCCTTGTCTCTCCAACTCCATTATAACTGGTTCTAGTCTTGCTACAAGATCCTCATAGCTTTCCCCTCTTGGATACCTGTAAGTGAATTTGTCCTGGTCTCTGGCTGTGAAATCTTCCGGGTGAGCTTTTTGTATTTCTTTGTATGTCATCTCCTCACAAATTCCCTAAATATTGCAACGATTAAAAAATTTATCACAAAAATTGTCTCATATACGCACAGCGTCGATTTCATTTAGGGCCTTCCATCTTTCCTGTGGAGCTTGGATGCCAGCAACAGTCTGAATTGTACGCTTGAGCCAAGACGTCCAAACCCTGAGGCTGCTGATATTTTGGCTATTTATATAATTTGCGAGGGCATTGGCAAACGCTTGCCCCCTCGGAGACAGTTCTGAATCTCCACCTATTCTACCTTCAAGGTTGTGACAACTCTCTCCATGCTAAAATTCAAATCATTGTTTTTTAAATGATAAAGACAAATTATACAACTGGAATAATTACCCTGGCAATATAAATGGTCCTTGGTACAATGTGTATATTCATGAGGTAATAAACTATCCTGGATTCTATATGTCCTTCATGCTTGTGCACAAGAACTTTCTCTCCTGTGTTGTAGATCTTCATAAAACTAAGACTATCTTCTAACTTTTCTTCCAAAGGTTCATATTTTTCCTTATAGTGCTCAATTCTAAGCAGGAAATCATTTAAGGCTGTTTCTGTATTCATGTTTTTGTAATCTGGCGAATTTACTTTAACCTCCTTCAAAAAAATAATGTGTATTTTAAACAATTGATTTAAAAAAAATTGAACTCATCAATTTACCATAATATTTTGTTCCACTATTTGAGGATCATCACAGACAGACTCAACAAAAAATAATTTAAAATTCATTTTCTTCACAACAATATCATGGATCATTTTCCTTCTATCTCGAGTAGAATTTGTAGCATCAAATACCTAATAAAAAAATTTAAAAAAAAATGTTTCTTTCTTTTAGATATTTATATTTTCTGTTGCATACGCACAGCCACTTCACCGCCAGTTTCTAGCCAATGGCAAACATCTTCTAAAGCATCCATACAGCACTGGGTGCGAATCGCCATTGCATGCTTGTTATCAGGCTTGAAAAACTCATGACTTTTGTACGCATCAGTAACAATTCTACGATATTCTCCAAGATTAAAAACTAAAATTTACAAGTGAAAAATATAATCATACAAATCAATGATAATACTGATATGTTATCATACAAATTGCTTGTCTATAATAATGTTTAATTTTTGAACTATCTTTATCCATAAATCACACACCAATAAACGTACAACTCAAATGGAATTTTATATACTGATAACGCTTAGTGACACTTTTGTAAAACATGTACAGCATTATATAATGTCTCAAAGGCAAATTTATACAATTATCATAATGTTTACCTTTTGTATTTATTCCAATCCAGTTGAGGTATCTTGAGAGCTTTTTCGATATGTACGTTTTCCCCCTGGCCGGGAGTCCGACCATGGCAATGACATGTGGACTGTTAACATAGTTGGCCCTCTCCCCTGAAATCGAATTAACAAATTGTAATACTTGCTACCCCACAACCAGCCAGAAATAATAAAATTTCTCCATACACATATGCCGTACAACATGCATTTTTTCATAAGACATTCTCTACCGAATAATGAAAAGTGTGGGGAAATGGATCTACTTATTAAAAACTAAAAGATAAGATAATTATGTCTTTTTATCCCTGTTACCTATTCGAACGGACACTTGTCTCTGGAAGGTCGATTGTCTCCGTATCATAATTTCAACTTCAGCCGGTCAAGACAAAATCTGTACTACGTGTATTTTAAATATGCAAGGATCAGAGCATCGGGGAGAAAGTCAAATAGATAAACTCTGATAAGATTATCTCTATTTGGCCGATAGACATTTATTGTTGTTTTATTTATTCATTTCATATCAAAAAATTAATTGACAATTTGAGCACAACCATATCTTCAATTTACATATAAAAAAATTCTTACTCTGCATGTTGCTCATTCTTGCTGGTCAGGTCATGAACTGATGGAAGACCTTGAGCAAAGTGCAACGTGGCATAATACAATTATTTACATCTTTTAATAATACAACATCATAAATCCAAAGTTCATCTACATTTAGGAATTACATAACACTATTTTTCTTCAGTGCATCAACTACACAACAACAGTTTTTTTTTCAGGCTTGAGGACTATTTTTTCAAGATTTTTTTATTACTTGCTACATTTATTATGTCCATTTTTAAAATATCGATGAATATGATGACTGTTCAATTATAATGTCTCTGTTGGTTTTTTTTTTTTGGGGGGGGGATTTTCAGTCAAAAAATGACACCACTCATTTCACTTACATTTATTTCATTGACGTTTTGGAGGATATACCTCCTTTCTCAAGGTATACAAGAGAACGCCTATAACATACAAATAAATACATTTAGTTTTTTGATTTTTTATTACAAACACCTTTAGGAGTAAAAAACCCTTATTGGGATAAATCCTGTTTGTGTGAGTGGAGTCTTTTCCAGGTTCACACTTAAAAATTAAAATTATATTCTGAGATGGGAAGTTAGTGCCTGAGGGGATCGAAGTCACAATAGTTCAACTGGTAGAGCAGCAGCGTATCTAGCCAAAGTTCATGGGTTTGAATCCCGCTCGTGACACTGACTTTTTTTATTTCAACTTAAAACCTTAATTAATTGAATTAAAATTATATTTCGTCTCACACCTCGACCGTTTGTGCAACACTTCTTCCACCTGTGATTTTTCATATATTTAATTTTTGTATAATGTAGGTGAGTGATATTACCAATGTTACTTCAAAGTAGTTTCATACAAAACTAATAGTTTTTAAACAATAAAAATGCAGAAGTTCCTTCTTTTTCCTTTTTACACAACAAGAAGGTAATTCTTGTCTGTTAGCCGACTCTGGATCCTCTCATTGTGAAAAAAGGAAAAAGAAGGAACTCCTGCATTTTTTACGTTTAAAAACTATTAGTTTTATATGAAGCTCCTTCGAGGTAACATTGGTAATATCACTCACCTACATTATACAAAAATTAAATATATGAAAAATCACAGGTGGAAGAAGGGTTGCACAAAACGGTCGAGGTGTGAGACGAAATATAATTTTAATTTTAAAGTGTGAACCTGGAAAAGACTCCACTCACACAAACAGGATTTAGCCCAGTAAGGGTTTTATTACTCCTAAAGGTGTTTGTAATAAAAAATCAAAAACTAAATGTATTTGTATTTTGTAGGCGTTCTCTTGTATACCTTAAGAAAGGAGGTATACCCTCCGAAACGTCGGTGAAATAAATGTAAGTGAAACAAGTGGTGTCACTTTTTGGCTGAAAATTAAAAAAAAAGACCATTTTTAAACACAAAAAAATAGACATTTTAATGATACATTTTACCCAAATGTTACAAGTTTGTTTAAATGTATTACACTTTAATTAAATGTAATCATGAAATGAATGTAAAGACTGATCAACAAGGCATAAATTAAGTTATAAACAATACCTTATATTCTTTTAAACTGTATAATATATGATAGACTATAATCCAAATGAGGATAATGCAAATTTGATAGATATATAACAAAATCTATTTCTATAAATAGAAAATATCGAACAAATCATAAAATTAAAAATGTGAATAGGAGTTTAGAGTTATTTTATGGAGGTGTAACTTTATATTAAAAAAGCTCCTTTGCTGAGCTTTCAAGTTATCACCCTTCCATCAGGGCTTGGAACTATTATTAATAACAAGGTTAACAAATATGAACACCTATTTACAATATTAAAGCATAATGAAACTAAGAATTGATTTTACAGTGAATAAGATCAAAGGCCCATCTATTATATTTCCGAAATATATTATTTTATAGTCTTTATTGTTATAATAATTTATACATACTTCAATTTCAAACAAAAATTAATAAAATAATATTACAACTGATTATGTTGTCATTATTTTTTTTTTTTTTTTTTTTTTTTTTTTTTTTTTTTTTTTTTTTTTGGTGTTAGTCCTACCTATTGGCCTCTTGAATTAATAAGTTTTCTATCCGATTTTTNTTTTTTTTTTTTTTTTGAGAAGTGTTCACAACGCAGAGTCAGAATCTTTTTTAAGAAGAAGCAGTACAGGTTTCCACCTCCTCAAAGTATACTTAAAGTATTTGTGCTCCGTATCAAATTATAGCTCGAGACACTGATTTGAATATGGCCAACTTCAAATGGAAAGAAATTTTGTTGGTTTTGAGTATAGGGGCTCCAGATTCCATTTATAACATTATTTTCTCCTCAAAATCTGTATTTAATGACCATTTTGGAGTAAAAATTATGACAAAGTTTTATAACAACCACTTACCATTCTTTGCTTTTCTTCCCTATTACTGAAAATCGTGATTTTTGATTTGTTAAAGTTGTTTAACTTTCCAGTTCAATTTTATGTCTTAAGATGCAATTCAGTGCAATTAATCATCCTTTGCTTTTAAATGGGGACATGACATGTTAAGAAAGTCATCTGTGTAAGCAAATGACGGAATACATTATACAAATACTTTACAAGGTTAAATATAAAGTGGAATATAAAGCTCAACCATGAAACTAAGTGTTTTCAATCAAATTGGCCTTACCCCTGATTTTTTTTAATATACCTAAAATTATAAAATTTAAGACTGATATCAATTATACCAGGTAACCAGAAAAGTTGTGCAGTGTTTCATTTATTGTTTTAATGTCGTTAATTAATATTTCTATTTACATTTGAGGATTAGATGGTTACAACATGTACATAATACCAAGAGGATAATGCAGGAATTCATAAAGAAAAAGTGTCTTCAATAATTCACTGTAAATTATAAAACATTTTCTTTCTCATGGCTTCCAAACCCGTAATTCTTTTGCGCTTATTGTATGATAGTGTTGCAGCTTGGTACTAGGGCATCTAAGAAATCTTCTAAGGTGGTTAATCAACGACCGTGCACTTTTTAGGTATCCAATTAATTGATTGTGCATGTGATTCCATGAATGCCTCATCTTGACAAACAAAATTAAATGGTTTTATTGTTTCCTCTATGATGTACAGTTTTGAAAATTTATTTAAGCAAAATGTTAATCTGACAATGACTGAGATGAACAAATAAAAGCTTATTTCTTTGCAACGTGTTATCACATTGTGCCACACTAATGTAATCATTGTTTCTCTATTTTATAAATAATTACACACTTCAGTTAATATTTTATTTAGGAAATCAGCCAAAACGCGGCCATGCGGGGATTCACTTTCTCCTTTTTTCTCTCAAACAGAAGATAAGGGCATGACAAATGTTGACGAAACATCACAAAAAATATAAACTGAAAAATGTACCTTCTAAATTAAAAAAAAATCCCTATTCTATAATTTAATTAAATTAAAGCAAACGTATTTTTAACAATATTATTATTTAGCATGGAAATAAGACGCGGAATCCAACATTTCAAGTTTCTCAATTTTGTATTTGATTTTAATTATTACCTCATCATTTCTCATCTTGTAATGTGTTGACAGCAAATTAATATAGTGGTAGTAATGTAATGGATTTGATATTTTATGGAGACTTCCCAAAATCTTGAGAAACTTAGGTAGTTAAATAAGTAAAAATTCATTAAAATGCCACCAGAAAAAGAGGTTTTTCAAACAAAATTATATTAATTCATTTATAAATATTATTCAACAGACAATACCGAATTACAAGTAAAAATTATTAGAAAATTGCACATGAAAAGTAATCATTTACATACAAGTAAGAATGGTTTAAAATTTTTTTTAATTAGTGCTCTTTTGAGAGAAAGGAAATAAAAAATGAACAAATCAAACTCATTTAGTAAAGAGTTAATTTGGTATGATTGATGTCAGCCTTAATATTAAACTTATATATAAAAAATCAGAAATAAGACGGATTTGAAACAAATTCTATACACTCATTATTTGGAGATCATGAGATGTGGTCTGGTGTGACGTAGGTTTAGAAAAACATTTTCTTTATTGTGCCAACGTTTCGATCTTGTTTAAATTATACTTATTGTTTAAATAATCCTTAACTAACAGTCACTTAACACCACACATCTATACACACCACAGTTCTATTATCAAGCTTTTGATGAATTCAACAGGACTTTGAAACGATTTCTAATGATGCGTGGTTAAAAACCATAAACATTACTTACAGTATTAAAAATTATGTCATCAACTATTATGAATTTGATAAAATTCCTCTCTATGGGATGTTGAACTTGTGATTTGATCTTTACCACCTAGGTTTGCCTTTACTTGCTGGGTTGGCTTGTTAGACGCATTTTGACATCTTCAGTTTGGTGAAAATAAGCAGACCAGAATGAATTGAAATGAACAAACTAGAATAGTTCAAGTTTGATTATAACCGATCGTTTTCATCTGCTTATCTATTTTGGACTCAAGATGCATTTTGACATCTTCAATGACTGGACCCACAATATCCAATAGGAATATATCACAGT